TGCATGAGTGTGTCGAATTATGCGTCTGTATCTATTTCCAAAAATAAAACAGTTATTATCAGGGGGGTTAAATGGTTTTAGCTATAACTAAAAATGTGACATGTAAAATCCGTAGAAAGATTTAAAATCAAATGGCAAATTACATAACGCATTGACATATATCAATTGTGGATAAAACCTGAAATTTATTATAACAGGTTATTACAACCGGATGTTAAAAGTTTTAAAATTTGAAGGTATGTACTTAATTGAATTTAAAAGAAGAGTCTCTTCCGTTATTAGAAAATCTTCAAAAAATTAAGTAGTGTATGTCTGTAAATAAACATAGATATTTTTCTTTCATTTATGCGGGCTATTCAAGGTTACCATTAACTGGGTTCATGATCGGAAGTCAACTGTAATTATAGCCTACGGATGTAAAACAAAATTTAATTAGCTTACGATCCATAACATTTCAATGCTGTAATTATGTTTAACTCACCATTTGTACATCTCAATTGTTTAAACACTTTTTCATTCAATTGTTGCAGCGTGTTGATACATTATTTACATTGTTGGAATGTTTGCTGACGTCATAAACAAAACTCTTGCAACACAGACGTGAAGAAACAGAATGGAACAGAGAACAGTCTGCAACCAACAATTTGAAAGAGAACATAATTTTATAAGGTAAGTGGCAACTGGCCTCCTGACTGAAACTGTGTTTGCTTCTTTCATGTCCAAATTATAACCACAATTCACTTCGCACGTAATGGCATGGTTCACATATTAAGTGTAGAGAATTAATTTTCATTATGAGCCGTACAATCTTGATTTTTAACTTTTCAGATGGAGAATAACTTTACAGTTAATGCAAATACCATCGAACTCGTCGAAACCCTGGATTCAGATGCTAAAACTGGAATCGTAATGCTGACTTTTGCTGTACTGGGGCTTCTATGTATCATATGTAGTGTGATAATAGAAATTTATATTCGATATGAGTAAGTACATTTGCATATTGCTTCAAAACATTTATGATGGAAAGCAGACGTTTAGAATTCCCAGAATATTATGCTAAGGAACGGAGAAAAATACGTTTTTTCACATTTTACGATAAGAAAATGTCTAAATTTAAATATTAATAAAATTCGCTACGTAAAATTAGGACCATCTCACAGAGGATTATTGTAACAGCCGGGTCACATATCTATAATCTGGATTTAGCACGGAACTTGGAAACGTAGCTAAACTTCTGAAGACTATACGACCGAATGTCAAATACTGCTCAACAATATCCAATCTAAGAACGGCTATATGACATTAATATTAGGCTTCTAATGCAAATGCCTTTAATTTCAAAACAAGGTTTTTTAAGTTGCATCATATGACTTTAGTGTGGGTCAAACTGGACATACATTCACAAATAGGTATAAAGAACACATTGCGGCAATAAAACATAATAAAGATAATTCAGCATATGCCAAACACATTCTAAACACTGGACATGCATATAGCATGATAACAGACACAATGGACATCTTAAAAATAGTATACAATAAGAAACACAGAGACACAAATGAAAAATATCATATACAACAAGCATTCAAAGAAAATGTTTGCTTGAATGACAATAATATTTATCTCAATAATCCCACCTCCAACAACCTCCTTTCACTTGCCACCCCTACAAGACAACCACAATCCACAATGAACACAGTTCAGTTCAAACACGGCAATACTTCCAGACAGATGTAACTCCTCTACAACTTTCATTTCTGGTATGTTTCAAAATTATATTTCATTATTTCAATATATTATTTTATTTTCTATTTCTATTTTATTAATATTCATTTAGTCTTTATATTATTTACATTGCAGGCTGATGCAAAGGCAACAAAAAAACGTTCACCCACACTAAAGTCATATTGAGCATGATGTACATATACAGAACAACATTGAATATGTTATTAGAATGGAATAGAATCTGGAAAGGAACATCGTTTGATACCTGATAAACGTCCGATAAAAATATACGCTAAAATAATATATAGAAATTGTATTTAAGAAATTGTATTTAAGTTATTATTGATTTGAATCTTTATATAATTATATACACCTGAAGATAGTTCTTTTAGGAACTGAAACATGTCGTGAAAAATGATGGTGTAATGTAAATCGAATATTTCGATAAAGAACATCATTTAATATTTTAAATGTTAATTATTGTAATATTTTAATATTTAATAAGAATTTATTGTGATTAGACGGACAAGATTTAAACAATATATAAGGTTTTTTAAGCTTCGAACGTTTTCTCATATATTACTTTTAAACTAACATTAGCAATGCGTCTGTAGTGCAATTGGTTACATGACCACAGTCAAGAGGTCACCACATCACCCACGTACTGTAATTTCCTTATCTCTGTGATCTCAATCTGTGTTACAGTACTACTCGTGAATCACCAGATAATATGACATTGATTACGAAAAGTGCAGTTTCCAACACAGAAACCAACAACAATTCCACCACTCACAGTACATCACCACCAATTTCCCCACGAGATGGATTATACAAGTCACTCTACGTAATGGAGATGATTGGTTTAACTGTGCAGTTTATATTGCATATATATATCGGGATAGACCTAATAACTCGTGAGCGGAATAAGTAAGTACACTTGCATATTAATTGAAATATTTATGATGGTAAGCAGACGATTTGAATTCCGAAAATATTTCACTAAGGAACGGAAAAAATTACTATTTTTTTACGGTAAGAAAACATCTAAATTTAAAAAGTGATAAAATTCGCCACAGAAGATTACGACCAGCTCACAGGATTATTGTAACAGCCAGGTGGCGTAACTATAATGTGGATTCAGCACGTAACTTCGAAACGTCGCTCAACTTCTGGAGAAACACCTAATGTCAAATGCGGCTGAAAAATATCCCATTGAAAATCGGTTATATGATATTAATTTTAAGCCTGAAATTCAAATGCCTTTTAATTTAAATACAAGGTTTTGTAGCTTCAAAACGTTTCGGTTATATTACTTTAGAATTAACATTCTTAATGCGTACATACTCCAATTGGTTGCCTGGATATAAGCAAGAGTGGTGTGAGGTAAGAGGTCACCCCATCACCCACATACAAAAATCTCCTCTAACTCTGTGATTTCAATCTGTGTTACAGGACTGATGTTGAATAACCACATAATTCGACACTGAGTACGATAAGTGCAATTAATTCCACCACTAACAGTACATCACCGACACTTGTCACATGAGTACAAGAAGAATTACCCTCGCCAACGCACATACCAGCAGAAAGAAATTTCATCCACGAAGAAGACAACGCAGATATCTCTTCCTGTTATGACGGACCTATAATTGACATCAAGGAAGACTTACTCTCAGAGAATAATGGCCACATGTTGCGACACGCAGTAAAATGAGTCCTAAATCGTACTCAGATTCGATCTACGGGGGCCCCGTCCATCCTAGGGACATTGGCGGCATGTTGAGCCTAGGAGGCCTCCAACTCTGTAGTCGTACTTTTAGAAGATCTTCTCTGATAGTGATGTTCACATCTGAATGTCGTCAGATAACAATGCTACAATATCTCAAGCTGATTTGTCGTCGGCTGCACGTGGCCATCATGTAATCGAGTAGGGTCCATTCCTCATCAGAAAAATGACGTCTCTAGTGTCAGCTGTGCACGGGAGATCTCATACACCTCGTGTCGGGAGTGGCGGATGTCCTAGAGGAATGGACTGAAGACCACTCCAACCCACGAGCACGTGAATTACACCCGGTATGAGCAAGATGAGATTTCTCGTGCACTTGTGGGAAAAGACCTGCGCTTGTCTGGTGATTGTCGGCAGAGGTCTGGTGGGCCTTTCGTTATCGCGTAATGTTCGCTGCAGCCGACGACAATTTTCGGCGTTGGCAAACATATACAGCTGGACCCCCTGACTGATAGCAACAAGACGATGGTCGCGTTTGATGTGATGAATGCGCTCATTATCTGGGGTGGATTAACAGGGTTCTGTCTGGTTTAGACGAAAATTACAAATTTATTTGGAAAATCTGCCATAAAATGCAATGTTTAATGGAAAGGAATAATGCAACAATGGCATTGTATGAACTATTAACTCATTTGTAGCTGAAACTTAAAATTATAAAACAGAGCATTATTACTTATCCGTCTGAATCATTTCCAAAAATATGTAATATGTATTTTGTGAAATTTTATATAAAACTTTTTCTATTATTAGTATATCTAAATTTAATAATGTATGTTCGTAAATAAAATAAAATTCTGGTTAAATTGTGTGTTTTTCTTTAATTTTCGCAGATTAGTCATACATTTAAGTACCCAGAACAATGTTTTCTTCAACAAAAGTCAACTCTATTTATAGACTACAAATTTAATAAGAAATTCAATTCGCCTTTTATTCAGAACTAGGGCAGAACGCTCCTTTCGACTCGGCATTGTTGTGTTCCACAACAATGCCGAGTTTGTTTATAGTTGACATTGTTGATGACGTAATTTATTGACGTAATTCATTGTTGAAGTCTCTTAGTCTCCTACATTGTTACGCATTGTTACAAACTGTTTGCTGGCGTTACCTAAGAAACACCTACAGTTGATCTGAACACAGCTCGAGGGGATGTCTGAACTAGATATGAACGTAAGTGGTAACTTAGATTATATTTATGAAGCATAATTATGAAAATAACTTATAACAGACAATCACGAATAACCTACTTTATCAATAGAGAACAAATTGTCCTGTATATTGTATCGGCGTGTATGTTTGTGACGAGAGGTAAATATGCTTGTAATTACATTATTAAATATGCAGTAAAGTTTCGATTCAAGTCTGCTGAACAATATTGCTTAACTTATATGGCCAGAAGTATGTTGTCATAAGTTCGTTATAATATAACCAAGCAGCAACACATTTTTCTTAACAGACAATAGTTAATTATCTGATTCCCTATTCTAACATGTCCACACTCTCACACAAAATTTAATATCCATTTTAATATTATCAAAAGGTCTACGTTTGATTCTCCACACACGTCATACTAAAAGGCCTTCTGACTAAAAGTGTGTTTATATCTTTCACCTGTAAAATTATGATTACAGACAAATTCGCAAATATTAGGTATGGAGAATTATTTTTTCGTTATGAGCCGTACAATCTCTTGTTTTAATCTTCCAGTTGGCATTTAACTTCAAAGTTAATGCGAATAGCACCGAACTCCACAACACCATCCTGCTATCTACAGGAACTGGAACGGTGATTCTGCTGATGTTGACATATATAATTTGGATATTTATCGAGATACTGCGTTCAAATTCAAATGCACCTTCCAACACAGGAATCAAGCAGAATTCCATCACAGAGAGTACATCATCAATATATTTCATACGAGCACAAGAACCACTAGCGCAATACCACGTATCGGATGAAACAAATAAAATCCACGCAGAAGAAACAGCAACATCGCCTCCTGTGATTACGCACATTTAATTGACATCCAGCAAGAATGTTACTCTCAGAGTATAATGGCCACATGTTGGGACACGCAGTAAAATAGGTCCTAAATCGTACTCAAGTTCGATCTACGTGGGACCAGTTCGTCATGGGGAACATCGGCGGCACGTTGAGCCTAGGAGGCCTCGGACTCCGAAGTCGTACTTTTAGATGATCTTCTCTGATAGTGATGTTCACATCCAAATGTTGTCAGATGAGGAAGCCCTATGCAGCCTTTAGAATTTTTCACGCTGCTTTATCGCCGGCTGCAAGTGGCCGTCGTGTTGAATTCCGAGAAAATTTCGCTAAGGAACGGAAAAATTACGATTTTTATATTTTACGATAAGAAAACGTCTAAATTTAAATGAAAATAAAATTCTCTGCGTAAAATTAAGACCATCTCACAGAGGATTATTGTAACAGCCAGGTGGCGTAACTATAATCTGGATTCAACACGTAACTTCGAAACGTAGCTCAACTTCTGAAGACTGTACGATTCAATGTCAACCACGGCTGAAAAATATCTGTTCCAAAATTTGCTATATGTAATTAATTTTAAGCTTCAAATTCAAATGCCTTTAATTTAGTACAAGGTTTTGTAGTTTCTAAACGTTTCGGGTAATTGCTTTAGAATTAACACTTTCAATGCGTCCGAGGTGTATTTGGTTGCCTGGCAATAAGCTGAAGTCGCGTGGGTCAATAGGTCCCCAATCACCCGCGTACTATAATCTTCTTTATCTCTGTGATCTCAATCTGTGTTACAGGACTACTAGTGAATCATCATATAATTCGACACTGAGTACGATAAATGCACCTTCCAACACAGGAATCAAGAAGGATTCCATCTCAGATAGTACATCACAAATATTTTACATACCATCACAAGAATCACCAGCGCTACACCAGGTATCAGTAGAAATGCATGTAATCCACGCAGAAGAAACAGCAACATCGCCTCCTGTGATTACGCACATTTAATTGACATCCAGCAAGAATGTTACTCTCAGAGTATAATGACCACACTTTGGGACAGGCAGTAAGATTGGTCCTAAATCGTTCTCAAGATCGATCTACGGGGGACCCATCCTAGGATCGACAGCTCGTGGAGCCCAGGAAGCCTCCAACCCCGTAGTCGTACTTTTAGATGATCTACTCTGAGAGTGATTTTGACATCTCTTTGTTGTCAGATAAGAAAGCCCTATGTAGCCTTTAGAATTTTTCCACGCTGTTTAGTTGTGACCGTGATGTGATCGAGTTGGGACCAGTCCTCGTCAGCAACTGACGTCTGTAGTCTCAGCTGTGCACGGGAGATCTCATACACCTCGTGTCGGGGAGTGGTGGATGCCCTAGTGGAATGGACTGAAGACCACTCCAACCCACGAGCGCGTGAATTACACCCGGTATGAGCAAGATGAGATTTCTCGTGCACTTGTTAGAAAACACCTGCGCTTGTCTGGTGATTGTCGGCAGAGGTCTCGTCCCATCTTAGTTGCATAATGTTCGAAAAGGTGTCACGCGCTGTAGCCGACGACAATTTCCGGCTCTGGCAGAGAGCCCTGGAGCCGGCCAATCTATTGTTTTTTGGAACAAGACGATAGTAAATTTTGGTGAAGTGGTGAATGCGGTCTTTAGCTAGGATTGGATTAACAGTGTTTTGTCTGGTTTGGACGAAGATTACTAATTTATTTAGAAAATCTGATGTAAAATGCAATGTTTAACGGAAAGGAATAATACAAAACTGACATTATATAAAGTATCAAATCAGTTGTAGGTGAAATCAAAAATTATAAAACAGAGGGGTATTATTATCCTTTGAAATATTTTCATAAAAATAACATTTTCTTTGTAAAATTTTAGATAAACACTTCTGTTATTAGTAAGTTTTTACAAGTTTAAATAAAGTATGTTCGTAAATAAAACTAAACACTTGGTAAATTTGCGTGTGTTTCTTTCATTTTTGAGGAATGTTCATAGATTTCAGTACCCAGAACAATGTATTTCCCAACCAATGTCAACTCTATTTATAGACTACAAATTTAATAAGAAATTCAATTCGCTTGTTATCCAGAATACGTTAAGCTGTAATTATATTTTTTATCGTTTTGTACTTCCACATTGTTTTAACATCTAGTTTCCATTTCATTGTCGCAGTCTCTTATTATCCTCGTACATTGTTACGCATTGTTACAAACAGTTTGCTGGCGTTACCCAGGAAACGCTTGCAACACAGGCAGTTTGAACTGAAATTCAGTAGAAAAGAGGAATGTCTGAACGATATACGAATAATTTACTAGAAATGTAATCTTAAGGAGGTAAGTGGTGACTTAATTCATATTTCTGAAATATTCAATTCAATTCAATTCTTTATTAATATATTTACAAAAATAACTGAAAACAACGTGAATTACCAACTGTATCGCTGGGAGAAAATTGTTCCATATATTTGATGGGCTGGTATGTCTGTGACAATTGATGCTTAAGTATGTCATATTATTAAGTTTGTAGTAAAGTTTCGATTGAAGTCTTTTGAAGAAAAACGCATAACTTAAAGCGCAATGACCATTTGTCGTTAGTTCGTTTCAAATAACGACATGAACAGGCGAAAATATTTTTTTTTCAACATACAACAGTTAATAATCTGATTCCCTATTCTAACACGTCCACACTCTAAAATACAATTTAATATTCATTTTAATATTATCATAAAGTCTACGTTTGATTATCAAAACGCATCATACTACCAGGCCTTCTGACTAAAACTGTGTATGCATCTTTCATCTACAACTTTACGATTACAGCCCACTTCATAGCTAATGGTATGGTACACAGAGAATAATTTCTTCGTTATGAGCCGTACAATCACTTGTTTTAATCTTTCAGATGGAAAATAACAGCGAACAATATACCACCCTGATGTTAGCTGCAGGAACTGGAGGGCTGATTATGTTGACGGTGATATTACTAATTTTCATATTCTGGGAGTTACTGCTATCAAAATCGTGGCTAAATGAGTAAGTACATTTATATATTGCTTCAAACATTTGTGTTGGTTAACAGATGTTTCGAATTCCGAGAAAATTTCGCTAAGGAACGGAAAAATTACGATTTTTATATTTTACGATAAGAAAACGTCTAAATTTAAATGAAAATAAAATTCTCTGCGTAAAATTAAGACCATCTCACAGAGGATTATTGTAACAGCCAGGTGGCGTAACTATAATCTGGATTCAACACGTAACTTCGAAACGTAGCTCAACTTCTGAAGACTGTACGATTCAATGTCAACCACGGCTGAAAAATATCTGTTCCAAAATTTGCTATATGTAATTAATTTTAAGCTTCAAATTCAAATGCCTTTAATTTAGTACAAGGTTTTGTAGTTTCTAAACGTTTCGGGTAATTGCTTTAGAATTAACACTTTCAATGCGTCCGAGGTGTATTTGGTTGCCTGGCAATAAGCTGAAGTCGCGTGGGTCAATAGGTCCCCAATCACCCGCGTACTATAATCTTCTTTATCTCTGTGATCTCAATCTGTGTTACAGGACTACTAGTGAATCATCATATAATTCGACACTGAGTACGATAAATGCACCTTCCAACACAGGAATCAAGAAGGATTCCATCTCAGATAGTACATCACAAATATTTTACATACCATCACAAGAATCACCAGCGCTACACCAGGTATCAGTAGAAATGCATGTAATCCACGCAGAAGAAACAGCAACATCGCCTCCTGTGATTACGCACATTTAATTGACATCCAGCAAGAATGTTACTCTCAGAGTATAATGACCACACTTTGGGACAGGCAGTAAGATTGGTCCTAAATCGTTCTCAAGATCGATCTACGGGGGACCCATCCTAGGATCGACAGCTCGTGGAGCCCAGGAAGCCTCCAACCCCGTAGTCGTACTTTTAGATGATCTACTCTGAGAGTGATTTTGACATCTCTTTGTTGTCAGATAAGAAAGCCCTATGTAGCCTTTAGAATTTTTCCACGCTGTTTAGTTGTGACCGTGATGTGATCGAGTTGGGACCAGTCCTCGTCAGCAACTGACGTCTGTAGTCTCAGCTGTGCACGGGAGATCTCATACACCTCGTGTCGGGGAGTGGTGGATGCCCTAGTGGAATGGACTGAAGACCACTCCAACCCACGAGCGCGTGAATTACACCCGGTATGAGCAAGATGAGATTTCTCGTGCACTTGTTAGAAAACACCTGCGCTTGTCTGGTGATTGTCGGCAGAGGTCTCGTCCCATCTTAGTTGCATAATGTTCGAAAAGGTGTCACGCGCTGTAGCCGACGACAATTTCTGGCGTTGGCAAAGAGATCTATAGCCAGCCATCCTAGCTGATAAGAACAAGATAATTCTCGAGACGAGGCATATCCTGACAGCTATTGCCCTCCTCCCCATCAAGAACTAGTGTATACATGTGGTCAGTTCTTCCGCATGACGACGGTCAGCAGAACGCCTACTGGCCCGACTTTTTTTTTGTCACAGTGAGTGGGAACAATTAAAGCAACTCTGACAGGTGCTTAGTTGGAAGTAATGAATCAGACTCTGCCTCCGACGACTACCAATATCTTTCTTTTCTTAAATCTGTGCAAAATTTGTATAGGATTATTGTGACTGTAAATAAAATGTATAAATTATTACATGACTATCATTTAAAGGTAGGGATTACAACGGACCGAAGAAAAATAAAGTTAAATTTACCTGGAAAGCTCCAATGTAAACTGCTCCAACACAAAAATTATTTGGCTGTCCCTCTGTAGTTTAGGAACGGAAAACATTGAGGCCTCCCCCAACCACGAATATTGTATGATTAATGCAAAATAAATGAGGCTATAGTTTTTCACACAAGAAAGGAAATTACATTACTGTTACACACTTTCAGTACTTATGAAAATACTACACATCAAATTGCTGTTCAGAAATGAAAATAAATAGAAATATCAATGTTACGCACATCGCAGACAGTGATATGTCTGCTATGGTACTCCATGTTTTACGTCCCATGAAATCTTGATTTTGTACCCTTTATCTGCTAGAAAAGGACATTTTGACAGCTGATAAGCGTTAATTGCTATTCATATTATAAGGCACATAATGTTGTCTGTGTTCGGTTGACTGATTCAGCTGCACACTGTTTCTTCTGGAGATAATATCAATTGTAAAAAACATACAAATATACTTAAGTAACTTACAACTTCTTAATGAGGATTAGTCCTTGAATAATTGATCACACTTACTTTCAACGGAAAGAATAAAATTAAATAATAATCGCTTCAGTAAGGCCAAGAGATACGGCACGCAGTCTAGTTCAATAGGTATAAACAGTAGCTGATGCGACGGTCTGCAGTAAGCTTGACAGTTTAATAAATTCCACGGGGGGATGTCACTTGAACAGACACAATTCCTCTCATCGACACAGCAATATCCTAGTCCTTGATGATTTTCGAATAGTAACTGCCCTATTCTAGAACCAATTATCTTTACACGACCCCAAAGCTATTTCTCACCCTCAGAAACTTCAAGCAGCAATTTTGAATTTACAGTTCCCCTTCACCCTGCTATGTGTGAAGGTATTCGGCACACGAGAAACGTCGGAAGAAAATATATACGGATGAAGAAACCTACAAAGAGGGACAAAAATATATTAAATCATTTTATTTTTCTGGTGTGGAGACACGAGACAGTTGAACGAAAGAGGCATTCTCTTCGAATGGCGTTAATAAAACTTAGGGTATTATATAAATATCTTATTCTTCTTTCTTGTCTATTTAATTTGCTTAATATTGTCGTTGTTATAATTTTTAATAGTGTGATTATCTAAAACAACAAAGCTAAACATGTCGGAGTATATGAAAAAGATCGTTTAAAATTTTTTTGAAGGCTGTTTAACCTTTTACACTACAAAACCTAACATAAAGAACATTTAAAAATGAGGTTCAAACATAATTCATTACTGTTACGAACATAGCCTAAGTATTTTAAAATATAAAGGTTTACGTGTGCCGGCGAGGCAAATGAGAGAATTTTCTACTTTTAGTGTGAGCAGTGCGCTAAGACACAGTCCTTCAGCCAGGTGCGTCATCGCTGCAAATGACGTATGTAAATATTTGGACGTGTTTAGCATAAACATTGTCTCCCTTGAGGACACGTTCTCAATAAGGGAAAAGATCTAGATAGGTTGTCTTGATAGATGATCTAGCTTGGTTATCTGTTTTTTTGTATTTCTTTAACGATGTACATTTATATTAGTGTTCCCTAGGTGGATTATTTGTTTTTATTTATATTTCTTATTTTATTTTCTTTGTGTATAGTATTGTTTCTATTTTTGGCTTGCCTGTTTTTGGCTGTTATATTTAATACTGTACATGTATAAGTTTAGTTAATCTGTTTGTGTACTATTTTTCATTATTATTGTATGTATTATCAGTGTTTGCATGTTATTGGCTTCTTGCTGTTGGCAAACACTTAAATAAATGAATTGAAGTAAAATGTTGCTCTCTATTCTGAGAGTGAAATTAAATACGCAAATAAAATCTGTGAGCGACTCTAAAATAGTATAAATGTAGAATCAGCAGGTATACATAATTATCACTGATAAACTGACCTAAATGTTTAAACAAACTCTTGTTTAGTTATTTAATAACGTTTTAAATTGTCCGCACTGATGCTAATTTAATTTAGAGTCAGTCAGAATGGGGTACGTTATTTAGTACTGTGTCTTCCACCAGATGATTCATTTTTCAAAACGTAATCTTATTGAAATACAGGCTATAGACAAAATCCAAAATGCCACTTTTACATATTATAACGCAACATTGTCAAGAACTTTCAGACTACATTTCTGAATCTTTGTAAGGGGATATTTTTCATTAACTTTTATTGTGTGCTTGATGAACACAAAGATTGAAGGCTGCTCAGAGATTATCATTTTAATTAAAACTCGCTGTAACGTGGCAACTGAATGGAGATCCACTACTTCTGAGCTACAACGATCTATGACTATGAGTAGGTACCGTCGAGATATTTTCGTGTCAGCTGAGCAAACAACTTTAAAGCCTATTAAAAATTAATAATCCACTGTTTCTAATGAATAATAAAGCTCCGAAAAACGCAAAGAAGCGGTCGTTGTCTAATTCGAGGTCCGATCACTGATATCCGGAGGAACTGAGGAAACCCACGAATAACCTAAGTCAGATAACCGACTCCATAGCAAGATTCTACCTCGGTCCTCGGGAGTACGAAACAGAAGTGTTATCCAATGGAAGGCAACGTTTGATATTTCTGCTAAATACAAATAACTAGAACAGTAACGTACATTCCTCATTACCTTGTTCGCTTATACATTATCCAAACAACAACATTTTTTTTAGAAGACGTACTCTGCGTTTGAACTAATTACCGCAGACAGGGCGTTTCGTATATTTATAAAGGGACGTGTTTGTGTTGAGGCAGAATGCGGTTCTACACCCTGCCACAGACTTGTGGTGGCCGTCTCCAGCCAAGAGGCAAGGGATGAGGCGTCAGAGGTTTGTGTTTGAACTTCACCCCTCGAGCTAAGCGACAATTTTGCGGGGAGACGACCCCGACCTCAGTTCCACAACGGAATATTTAATCGGCTTAGGACTTAGCAAAGCAAAATGTACAGCAGTATAAGGCAAAGCGCTAAATACGTACTATACATTTAGCACTTTGCCTTATACCGCTGTACATAGCTGGAACATTCGGTACGGTATATTGCGTATTAAACGTTACATTCTGACGGAGGATGTCTGTGTACAATACGATGACGCGAAGTGTTTGGAGGCTTAAATTGCTGGCAAAGCTCTGATAATAAGTGCTGCGTACATGAATACAGGCAGCAACAAAACTATTATGCTCTTCCTTATTTATCTATGTTTTCTGAGGAATATTGTACCTGACCAAAGAACGTACAAGGGAGAGTATTAAGTAGAGGAGGTACTGAATACAACGGTGAATGTAACCAACGACATGAATGATAAAAAATTAAAATACTAACTAAAATATTCTCGGGAGATTAACCGCGTTAAGAGGTTACACGAAGAGACCAATGTTTCGGGAACTATCTCAACCACCATCATCAGGGTTCTGATGTCTGAAGTGAAAGAAGACTTTATTGAGTTTAGTCGCCGTGAAAGCGTAAAATAATGTAACTTAAAACAATGCACAACACATCAATTTCATCTATGCCTCAATATAAATATTCAGTATTATTTCAATAATATTTTAATGTTACTTAAAGGTTTTAAACCTTTTTAAATAAAGGTACAATGCGCTTTGTAAAATTTATAGATTTCGCTGTAAATGATGGCCAATACACCAAATAGTAGTCCTTACTTCAGATTATGTGTAACCGACTACCACATTTCCAAATTTACCGAGTCAAATTAAAGTTGGAAATGTGGAAATCTACTGAATCATCTATACACATAATGGTATTATAGTTTGCAGCTTTATAATTCGCTCTTTCTACCTAATGTTATTACCAATTTCAGTTCAAGGATGATAGGGTAGGTGGGGTATATAGCACGCATGACTGAGACGTGAAATCCAAACACAATTTTAACACGAAAACCTAAAGGGAAGCAACCACTTGGGGAATCCTCTGTGTGAATTTGAAGATAAAATTAAACTGGAAATTAATGAAGCAGGGTGTAAGAGTTTGGATAATATTAAAGTTGCTCAATATCGGGGATCATAAAGTGGCGAGCTCTTGTAAACTTTTGGGTTTCATTAGATGCAGGAAATGTCTTTGTCAGCTGAGTAAACATCAGCTTCTCAATGCAACTAATAATTATCAATAACTGATAGTAACGTCCATTGTCGCTTATACATCTGCAGATTACGTGCCGCATCACGTTGCCTTGATGGTTTTCGAATTAAAATTTATAAATTGGAAATCAACAAAAATACAAATTTAATAAAATTTCTAAACACAGTCACTTACGAAAAAAACATTAGCATATTTAAAATGATATTACACTTTAGCATTATTTCAACATGCTATAGATCTATCATAAAAAATTAAACCTCATTTTATAAGCATTTATAAGCTTTTTCAAGAAGGGGTCACAGCTCAACAGGTTTAGATTGCTATTTTATATAACACACAGAGCAAAAATACGTGTATGGATGCAAGAAAAAACTAAAATTACTACAAAAAAAAAAACACAATATTTGGTGGTTATAACAATCAATCGAATAAATGCAGCAATGCGGTTTAGGTGCAGTACGTCAGTTTTTTTGTCCCAACTGCATGCAAGTCATCCGCCTAGCCAAATACTGATTAGAGTACAAGCATGAAAGTGCTGTCAGAGAAGTTGCCGCTGTAGCACGGCGAAGACAGACTGCCGAGTTCTCGAAGCCCACTGTTTTTGCTTTACTTATCCTGGCGACGCAAAAAGCTCACGGATGCAAATGCATTGGGGAGGGAGGGGAACACGGAAACAGACAAACTAGTGTATTTTTTTAATGAATGAAATAAACAAATTTGAGCTAGTGCCTTGAAGTTTATGGAAAACAAATTTCCAAACTACCAGTTAATTTATGGGATACCTTCCTTAGATTTAACGGAAGAGTAGCATGTAGTACCATTCCGCCCAATAATTTTAGTACGTTCA